TTCATGAGTCTGAAGAGGACTTTATAGATTGGTATCAGACATATGGGCTAATATCAGACTTATGGACTTGATCTGGACTGGGCTGGGATGTTTTCTCAATGTTCAATTGCTCTTGTATATAAATGTCTTTCTTATACACATATGTGTGTCCATGGATTTGTTTCTCTAGTCTACCCAGACTAACACAGTGGGTGGCCTGAGATTCGATTCTAGTTCTTTGGATTCTGGAATTCAGGTGTGTTCCCTCTATTGCACGCTGATATTCCTAGTATGTCTCCAGGAAACCCAGACTGTGTTCCTACATCCCACCCCCACTCCCCACCCTTCCACTGGATGCTCACAACACAACCCCGCCCCTGTGCATGCTGGTCCCTGCATGTGCCCCCATAGCACCAGCACATAAACAGAAACCTCTTGGACGTTAGGGTCCAAGTCCCAGTCCCACGTGCAGCTGGGATGGCAGAGTGGAAAATGTACCTCTCCATTGGCGAAGCAGTACTGGAAGGCCACGAGCAGTCCCTGGAACAGAAAGAAGGGGTGGCATGAAATTGGACTCCATGGAAGACATGTCTGGGAGTTACAAGGAAAGTCCAAAGACCTGCCTTGGATGGTTGGAGTAGCCCCCAAAAGAGGCATGCCACTACAATGCCCACACGGACTAGAGCTAGTCATACACTGCTGCACTAACAGTGCCTTGTGCATGGGCCTTTTCGTGTTCTGACACCCGTATTCATCACATCCCCATAGGCAATGATGATTAAATTCCAAAGGCCTTATGTCTTCCTTCCATGACACAAATATTGTGCCTGGTCTCTGTCCTGTTCCCACTTTTCCATAATGGACCTTTCCTGTTGGAAACTGACTATTTTATGGGCTTCTGGATGGGCCGTCCATCATGACCCTCACTACAGGCATCAGATAGACATGTGACCTGTGACAGGGCCAATCAGAATTCTTTTTACTAGAACAGAAAAGAGGGCCTGGTCCTATTGGCTGGATTTCCCAGGTTTTTTTAAATGATGGCATAAGCATGGGGATACTGGTGGGTACCTTCCCAGGTACATGGGGGGTGGGGGGCGGGAGGAGCCCGTTCCTGAGAAGGACTCCAACACCAGGAAAAGCAGAGACAGAGACAGCGAGAGAGAGATTTTTTATGAAATTGAGTCCCCAAGTCTGGTTATAGCCGATCCTAAAATTTTCTTTTATTTGAGGTCATAAATACCCTTTCCTTTAAGCCAGGATTTTTGTTTGGTTTTATTGTAAGAGACAGTAGATCACGTCACTCCAGTGGTTTCATACTACCATGCTTAGAATGAAGTAGAACTGTCTTTGAAAAGCCCTACATGATCTAGGCTCAGTATCGCTATCTTATAGCTTACTTCTCAGCTTTTACATTTCAGCTCCATGAACTTTCTGGCTTCCTCCAATATGTCAACCTCAGGACTTAGTTATCAATGGCTACATTAAAAATGGGGGAAACCCTCCAAATTTAGTAGATGAAAATCAACAAATATTTATCACCCAACATACTTTCTGGCACAGTGTTGGGTCAGTGGTAGAATTATCCCCTTCCATGAAGGAGATCGAGGTTTGAACCTCAAGTGCAGCCGACTCCCGTCTGTCAATGGGGGCTTGCATATTGCTATGGCCAGGGTTGGCAAACTGTGGCTTGTAAGCCATATGCGCTCTTTCAGTACAATGTGGTTCAGAAGTAAAATGGAAAAAAGTTAAAGGATATTATTCACAGAATAGTGATTTCTCTTTTTTTTAGTAAAACTATATTTATGGCTCTCAATTTTTTTTTTAATTTTTGTGAGGGACAGGATTGGCTCTTTCATCTCAAAAGTTTGCCAGCCCCTGTTCTAGACTAAGTGGCCAGGAAGAAAGGGCCTGGTGAGCTACTTGCAAAAAATCAGCCAATGGAAGTTGCAGGTGAGGCAGTCTAGCAAAAGAAACTCCATTTTTGTCAGCTGCTAAGTCACTTGCCCATTCCTCCCTCCCATCTCAGAAAGGTAACTGCTAGTTGACCTGCCTGTTATCCCTCCCCTGATGAGAAAGTCTCTGCTGGTGATTCATTTTAGATGAGTTTGAAAAATGTTTCCAAGAACGGAATCGCAGATTTGACAAATGTATCAAGTGTAATGGAGAGTACTTTAAAGGTGATAAAGCAGTTTTGTGAAAAAATTTAAATACATTGCTTTGAAAAAAAATTCCGTCCCGTCCCGTTCCCCCCGCCCCATATACTTTCTATTAGCCAAGAATCTGCAGGTGTACTACTGTAGCAGTGTCTCTGAGAAGGTGCCATTGTAGATCTTAGAGGGAAGTCCAGTCATCTGAAGGCTTGACTGGGGCTTTAAGATCCGAATCAAGAATGGCCCACTCCCACGTGTGGTAAGTTGGTGCTGGTTGTTGATGAGAAACCTCATTCCCTCTCCAAAGGGTTTTTTCATGACACAATGGCTGGCTTTTCCCACGGGGCATCCACCATCATTTCCCCAATATTCTAGTATTCAAACGAGTCAACCCTATTCAACACAGAAGAATCCCCACATCCCCAGAAGCTGCCATGGAGAATAGCAGCCCTCTAGGCCAGCGTAGAACTACGCCACAGAATTTCCAAGCCTGTAAATCTGTATGGAAGGTGAGAGCCTCATCCCGTGGAGCAGCTCGTGGTTAGGGGCTACTGACTTTTCAATTAGCAGCCCAATGCTTAACCCACTGTCCCACCAGGGCCCCTTGAAGATGACTAGACACAAGCGTACACAGATGGAAATCATCGGAGGTCAAACTAGAAGTTCACATCTCCCTCCGATCCTTTCAAAATCATTTGCTGGACCATTTTCCACAGAGATCAACGCATAAGTGGCTTTCAGAATTCATGTTTTAACTACAAAACCATCCAAAGGAGAGATCTTCCCCCCGACCACCCAATCAGTCACTATTTTCCTGTTCTAGCCCATAATCTTCACAGCACTGGCCGGGAAGTGGTTATTGATTGGTTTTTATCAGTTCCTCCTCCACAATTCCCAAGACTAGCATCCTTATCTAGTCTAGCCGCTGCCAGATGCCCAGAACCTGGAACCACGCCGGACACTAATAAGAACGTCCCAGATAATGGTTGCGCACGTGAGTGAGGGAAGGGTTGGGTTAGGTTTCTGGTGCTGTACAAGGTCGGATGACTTCTAAACGATCCTCTTTCCTGAATGGCCGGTGTAGGACCTTGATGAGAACAACAGACCCCTTAAGATAGCATCTTCATTTCCAAGGAGTTTCTTTTTAGTGGGGAAGATTTTCAATGCAACTTTCACCTCTGGATGTTGGGAAATGTTTCTGCATTCTCTTCTAAATTGCCAAGCTCTGGGACTTGGCACTGTTCTCGCGTGCGCACTCCTTCCTCGTTTCCCAGGCTCCCACTCCTCCTGGCCTGCGAACAGCTGCCTGTGATAACTTCAGGCCCCGGCTCTCCTCTCACTGGTAGGAAGGTGGGTGGACTGCACGCTGAGTGTCTGTTAGATAAATGCTGGGGGGGAAACATCTCATAAGATGCCGGGACCTCCTGAAGCAAAGGACACCTTTCCAGGTAGAGCAGTGGTGCTCAACCTTCCTAATGCCACGACCCTTTAATGCAGTTCTTC